GAGGTTTACTACACTATGTCCACTTCTCCCGGGTGAGCAATTGTCTCATAACATCCCGCAAGTAATAGCATTTCCATTAGCGGGCACCTCATACCTCGGAATATCTGTGTATCCGCCGCGTAGCTAGCTACTAATGTAAACTAACATGCATACACGCAGCGTACCTTGAGTAACGTGGCGTTCCACGGCTTCCGTTTTGAAAAATGGGGGCAAAATGAAATTTGAACGGAGCATTTAAGTACGATGTGTTGACCACATACAGTGTGTACACCACATATTGCAATTTTAGCGAATCGAGGCCGCCTTCGCTGCGCTCGGCAGCCAGTAGAACGCGCGTATTAGCGTAAGTTTTATTAACCCTAGCCGCGGACGGACTGACAGACAACACACTCCACTAGAGGTGTAACGGGGTTACATGGTGTGGAGCACACAGGGGTACGAAGTACCCGGAGAGTTAACAAACTCTCAGTACATAAGTTGGAGAGTTAACAAGGTATCTCAGTACGTTGGCTGAAAGCCACACGTTATGCATTTGATTAGGTTTAACTATGCTAGATAGTTAAAGAGATACATTTACCCCTAGGCGGCTTGGCCGCAATAATAGTAAATAAAACACTTCTGGTTTTGAAGCATAAAAGTTAAGGTGTTAACTTTGAGCCCTGGTCTTGGGCTGTAAGTGTCCTTTGGATAAGGAACTTAGTATTAGTGACTCTTTGAGTCGAACGTCTTCCTCTGACGCTAAAGCTACGGCAGCCCCGCTGCAAGAGGGGTAAGATAATGCAATAATATTTTACAGAAAATACCGGTCGGCGGTTCGCTGCAGTAGACGTTCAAGGGCCCGTTTGCAACTCACGTCAGACTTCTTGTTCTCCGCGTAGGCCTCTATCCAGTCAGGGTAGTTCTCTTGAATAAACGCAATCATTCCTGATGTAGTAAGAAATTACAAGAGTTAAACAGTAAGAGTAAGTAATAATAAAATAGTAAGTAATAATAAAATACTATAAAATTTATATAACTCACTTCTTCGTCGCGGCGTACGTCTTTCATGTACGTCAAAAGGGCAGAGGTAAATGGAAAGCTTTCCTTACGTCCCTGCCCTTTGGTCGTCTTGTCCAACTTGTTCCCCTCGTAGACGCGCACCGTGGCCCTACCGACCCACCACCCATGCACCGTGCCGTGCGGGTGGCCCAGCTTCTCAACGGCGGCAGTGAGCCCGATCCTCTCAACGAGGTCGACTGCCGCCAGCTTCTCTTTAATTGGGTAGCCGCGCTGCTTCTTCGTCCCCATCGTAGTTTAGAAAGTGATCGTGCAGCGCGGCTTCACCCTCGAATCGCCGGCTTCCAACCGAATTTTAGCTCAATTTATTGGATGGTCATCATAACTTAACTACTTTTTGATTGGTCAATATTTACTATGGGGCGCTTTCATTTTTCCGTGTTTTGTGTACGCCGGCTTTTTGTGTCGTTGTCTGTACACCTTTGCCCGCCCATACAGTGCACGCGGAAAATATAGAAGAAAAATCGTTTTTCACCATTTTTTCTTCCAATCTCAAGCTCTTTCCAAATGAATTTTAGCCAATACAAAGCTCATTAAAACGATTCGTTTGCGGTGCTTCTTGCCTCTATCCGACAGCTGACACTCGAGATACAGCCCATTAACTGACTTCGACTTAGTGTGCAAAGCGCGAAAATGATGGACGAAGTACTAAGTGATGCCTAGATGAGCGCTATTCAGGCAAAGGTAATGGTTAAAGTGGTTGATGTAGGTGTACTAGTACTTGGCCTTGAGCCCTTCGAGGCGGTAGACCTCCATGCAACGTTTTTTCATCGATTGAACCAGGTTTTCCACAGTCGACACCGGAATGGCAGCCCACGCTTTCTTGATGGCCTTTACAAGCTCCATCTTAGTGTCATACTGCTTTCAGTTCACGTATACTGCTCTAGCAAGGATACCCCACAGGTTTTCTAAATTAAACTTTTTCTCATCTGAGAACACCACAGAGTTCCAGTTGCGGCCATGCTCCACATGCTGTTCGGCCCACTTCAGTCTGTTCGTAATGTGCTCGGGTTTGAGCACTGGACATGCAATCCGCTTCTCATGCACCATATTCTCTGAGTCGTGCAGCACTTCCTGTACCCTACGAACAGAGATAGGTAGCTGTAACGAATCTTTTAGAGCTCTAGCGCTTACACCAGTCTTAGATGCCTCACGAAGCAGTCGACGCTCGGCCGTAGGCGTCAGCTTCTTCGGCCTGCCAGGACTTTTTTTCGTGCCGTACGTCTCTGGGCTGCTTAAAATGCTGTGCACAACCTTCCACGAGCGACTGATGCGCTTCGCAATAGCATTTTCCTTTTGGTGTTCCTCCTTCAGCGCCAAAATTTGCCCTTTCTCGAAGTCTGTCAGTGGTTTGCCTCGCCCCATCTAAATAAACAAACGTTTTGGCAAATAAAAACGTGTAGTGGTTTGTCAATGCCCTCTCTCTGGTGTGCATTGAGCTGCACTCCCCCAGACCCCTTCAAAGAGATATAAATGTCTCCCTTACCCACTTCGTCTATGTTTTCCGCGCTGCACCTACGTAGCCAAAGGCAATCATTTGAGAGAATCTCGAGTGTCAGTTGTCGGATAGAGGCAAGAAGCACCTCAAACGAATCGTTTTAACGAGCTTTTTATTGGCTAAAATTCATTTGGATTCATATAAAGGGTGGTACTGCTTATTTCGGGTACCTCGCCCCGGCAAAAAATGAACCAAAATTAAAGCTGCCGACTTTGGATGTTGAATGAGCCAACTATGGGCGGACAAAGGTGTAGAGCCTAAGCGAGGAGTTGGGCACTGTGATTACAAGAATGGGTACAGAGGACGAATCTTTTGCTCTATAGCTATCCATGAATACACTGAAAAGAGTATTACTGAGCTGGGCCTCGATTGAAGCTCTTAAAGAGACTGCAACTGTAAATTGCGCAACTAA